CACCCTGAACCCTCCTCCTCCCCTCCCATACCGCCCCCCGACCTGTCCTGCACACCCACACCCTGGATCTTCCTCCCCCCATACTGCCCCTCCTACCTGTCCTACACATCCACACTCTGGACCCTCTTCATCCCATACCCCACCCCCGACATACAGTCCCGCCACCTGTCCCGCACACCCGCACCCTGGATCCTCCTCCTTGCACATCCTCCCACCCTAGCCCCTCCCTGACTCCCCATAAGTGCCCCTCTCCCACCCCCAGGCGGGCCACCATCCTGGTGCGCCTGGACACCAGAGGCCAGGAGGGGCTGCAGTACCAGCCAGGGGACCACATAGGCATCTGCCCACCCAACCGGCCCGGCCTTGTGGAGGCGCTGCTGAGCCGCGTGGAGGACCCACCAGCACCCACTGAGCCCGTGGCAGTAGAGCAGCTGGAGAAGGGCAGCCCTGGTGAGGGGCAGCCTGGGACGAGACAGGGCACACCGACCCCATGTCCAGCCCCACCCCGAGCCCCAGGCCTCCTGGAGCTCAGGATCCAGGGCGTGGCCAACTCCTCCACAGCTCAGCAGCTGGGGTCAGTGCTGACTGTGCTGCCCGATGCCAGGCTGCCCTTGTTGCTGGGCCATCCACACACCCTCAAATGTACCCCCACCGGAAAGCTGTCCCTTCCCTCCAGGCTCCTCCCCAAGGCTCCCCTGGCAATCTAGCTTGCTCTGGAGCTGGCACTGGGGCTATTTGCTGCCACATGAGTGCCTGGGCTTTATTTAAAATAAAGGTGGGTGCGGTCAGAGGCAGAGGAGCCCAGATCAACCCAGTCCAGCCAGGGGCCCCTAAACAACACACTGAGGCTGCCCAGACAGGCCCATCAGCAGCTCAAGGGCAGGCTCCTAACAGTCCCCAAAATGCAAACATCAGCCCAGGCACTGCAGTTCTGCTAGGCCCTGTCCTCACAGCTCCCCGTGCACCATCCGCAGGTGGCCCTCCCCCTGGCTGGGTGCGGGACCCCCGGCTGCCCCCCTGCACACTGCGCCAGGCTCTCACCTTCTTCCTGGACATCACCTCCCCACCCAGTCCTCAGCTCTTGCGGCTGCTCAGCACCCTGGCAGAAGAGCCCAGGGAACAGCAGGAGCTGGAGGCCCTCAGCCAGGTTGGGGCCCCCCCAATGAGGCACAGGGGCTAGAGAGATGGGATGAGTTGGGCGGGGGCCCCAGTGGCAGGAAACCCCCATGCAAGGTCCTCCCTGGACTTTCTTCTCCTGACTGACAGGCACTGGTGCTTTAAGACCCAGCTCCCCAGGGAGGAATTCACATCTGGATTCTCCAGGTCTTAGAGAAAGCTCTGTTGACCTGAACTGAGGAGGGAGAACCCCTAAGGAGGCTCAGCAGGGGAGGAGTGAAGAAGGGAGGTCGCTAGGAAGGGCTATGGGGCCCCTAACCCACTGCATCCTGCCCTGCCAGGATCCCCGGCGCTACGAGGAGTGGAAGTGGTTCCGCTGCCCCACGCTGCTGGAGGTGCTGGAGCAGTTCCCGTCGGTGGCACTGCCTGCCCCACTGCTCCTCACCCAGCTGCCTCTGCTGCAGCCCCGGTACTACTCAGTCAGCTCAGCACCCAGCATCCACCCAGGAGAGATCCACCTCACTGTAGCTGTGCTGGCATACAGGACCCAGGGTGAGGCAACTAGCAGGAGCAGGCCTGGCCACAACAGGGGTGGGACAGGCCCCTCTCTGGCCCCTCACCAGCCTCTCCTCCCCACCCCCTAGATGGGCTGGGCCCCCTGCACTATGGAGTCTGCTCCACTTGGCTAAGCCAACTCAAGCCTGGAGACCCTGTGCCCTGCTTCATCCGGGGGTAAGTGAGATGGAGGACTCGGTGGGGAGCTGCCCAGGGGCAGGGTGGCAGCTTTGCTGAGGAGTGAGGAGCATCACTGGTGAGGAGTGTCACTGGAAACAGGAGGGAGCTCTGTAACATGCCAAGCACGTGGTGTCGTTAGGTCACTTCAGAACCCTGGCTAAGCTTTGGCTCTTTCCTTCATTTAGACTCAGAGTTTTGTCCTGAATCTACAGATCCCAGAGCCAGAGCTGGGATCAAACCAGCTGGCCCTGTGGCTTTCTGAAAGTGCAGTTTCCGTGTTCCTCTCTCTGTCCCCGGGCCGTCTGATGTGGGGCCGCATGGCACCTGGGAACTGCAGTCACTATATCCTCACTCCAGGGAGAACTGCTAGGTAGGATAAAGACCACCCTTGGCCTTGGTGTCACCGAGGGCTCAAAGAAGGTGAAGGATTTTTTTTTTTTCTGGACACAGAGTCATGCTCTGTCGCTAGGCTGGAGTCTATGATCCAGTGAGGCATGATCTCGCCTCACTGCAAACCTCCACCTCCTGGATTCAAGAGATTCTCCTGTCTCAGCCTTCCAAGTAGCTGGGATTACAGGCACCTACCACCATGCCCAGCTAATTTT